GCTACCACCAATGACCACCCTGACATGGAACACAACAGAGAGTTCCTGATGGAGCAGGAGAAAGGTGGGGTGCAAGACTCAAATTCTAGTAAGACGACCAGACTTAATGGTCTGACTGAAACTGGAGGAACCCCAGAAAGCATGAGCCCTGGATTCTCTATCAGTCCAAAACTAAAACAATTTCTGAGGCCAACTCTTCAGACAGGGATTGGACTGGACTGTGAGACATAAAGTGATGCTCGTGAGAAGTGTGCCTCTTAGCTCAAGTAGATACAACAGAATAAATAGGCAGCTTCTGTCCGGAGGTGAGATGGGAAGCCAGAGAGGGTTAGGAGCTGGTTGAATGGACATGGGGAATCAGGGGTGTAAAGGTGGGGTGTGCCGTCACAGCATGGGGAGAGCAATTAGAGTCACATAACAATGTATGTATAAATTTTTGTATGGGAAAAAAAAAAGCTAGAAACAGAAATACCATATGATCCATCAATCCCACTCCTAAGTATATATTCTAGAGAAATAAGAGTCATCATATGAACAGACACAAGACACCCACGTTCACTGCAGCATTATTCACAACAGCAAAAAGATGGAAACAACCTAAGTACCCATCAACAGAAGAATGGATAAACAAACTATGATACATACACACAATGGAATACTACGCAAAGATAAAGAACAGTGGTGAATCCACAAAACATCTCACAACACGGTCGAATCTTGAGGACATTATACTGAGCAAAATAAGTCAATTACAAAAGGACAAATATTGTACAAGACCACTAATATAAAAAGTCAAGGAAAGGTTTACACAGAGAAAGCAACAATCTCTGATGGTTACCAGGGAGGGGAGGGGGTTGAAGGAAAAATCACTAACTAGATAGTAGACAAGCGTTAATGTTGGTGAAGGGAAGGGCAGTATACAGTATAAGGGAAGTCAGCACAACCTGACCAAGGCAAAGGAAGACACTGAGAAGAACGCAGAAGAAAAAAAAACCCACAGAAAACACTGTAACATATACAACCCTACAACAGTAAAAACAATAATTTACAAGCAGATACATAGGTAGATATGTATGCTGAATAGAGGTAGGAGGGAGTATAGGAGTTCACCCATACACATATATAGATTTGGTTGTGGATATTTTTACATACATATTTGTATGTGCAGCATGTATATCCATATGTATAACAGAGCACGCAGAAGGCACAATCATAGAAGCTTCCTAGACACAACCTAACACCTCACAGGACTGAGTTGCTGGGCTGGGGCTGAGGGCTAGAAACCATGGTCTTGGGGATATCTAGGTCAACTAGTATAGCATAGTTCATAAAGAAAACGTACTACATCCTACTTTGATAAGAAGTGTCTGAGGTCTTAAAAGCTTGCGAGGGGCTATCTGAGATACAACTATTGGTTTCATTCCATCCAGAGCAAAGGAGAATGAAAAAAACCTGAGACACAAGGAAGCAATTAGCCCAAAGGACTAATGGACTACACAAACCACAGCCTCCACTAGCCTGAAACCAGAAGAACTAGATGGTGCCCAGCTACTACCACTGACTCCTCTGACTAGATCACAGGAGAGGGTCCTGGACAGAGCAGGAGAAAATGTAGAACAAAATACAAATTCACAAAAAAAGACTAGACGTACTAGTCTGACAGAGACTGGAGGAACCCCCAAGACTACGGCCCCTAGACACCCTTCTAACTCAGAACTGAAGGCACTCCTGAAGTTCACCTTTCAGCCAAATATTAGACGGGTCTATAAAACAATAACACCCATGAGGAACGTGCTCCTTAGAATAATCAAGTATACAAAACCAAATGGGCAACACCTGCCCCAAAGCAAAGATGAGAAGGCAGAAAAATGAAAACCAGATGAATGGAAACAGGGAAGCCACGGTAGAAAGGGGGAGAGTGCTGACACATTGGAGGGATTGCAATCAATGTCACAATCTATGTATAAATTACTGAATGGGAAACTAACTGGCTCTGTAAACTTTCACCTAAGGCACAATAAAATATTCAAAAAAAAAAAGTTGTTGGAATTTTAATAGGGAGTGTGTTAAATCTGCAGATTGCTTTAGATAGTATTGACACCTTAACAATATTAAGCCTTCCAATCCATGAACACAGGTGGTCTTTCCACTTTTTTGGGTCTTCTTCAATTTCTTTCAGTAATGTTGTATAGTTTCCAGCGTGCAAGTCTTTCATCTTCCTGATTAAATGCATCCCCAGGTATTTTACTCTTTGAGATGCTGTTGTAAATAGAATTGTTTTCTTAATATCCTTTTTACCTCGTTCGTTGCTTGTGTATAGAAACACAATCAACTTTTGTGTGCTGACCTTGTACTCAGCAACTTTTCTGAACTCATTTATTAGCTTTAGTAGCTTTCTCGTGGTAATATAGTTCATTTGTTTGTTGGTTGGTTGGTTTTAACAAATGCGATAATAATACTGAATTCCAAAGTGGCAGCCACAGAATTCCAAATACTTTTTTTTTTAAGTTTTCACGCTTTTAGAGTGGACTCCTCTCTCCAGCTTATCAAGACCTAAGACACTGACTGGCATCTGAGGACATTTGCACTTTCCACCCTTGTTCCTCAGAGCTTTGTACTAGATTCTCCCTTATAAAATCATTGGCCTTTTTTTCCAACTCATAAGAAATTATTTGTAAACCTCATCTTTATATATAATTCTTTATGCATATTTCTAATTTAGCACCATCTCTTTTATAAAGCACTACCTCTAAGGAGTCACTGTCTCGTCACCAAGAGTGAAGACTGACTAAAAATAGTTTCCTCTCAGTTTATATAACAAACACCCACCATGGGCCTGCCTAATTCTGGACAGTGGGGATATGGTGGTGAATAAGACAAGCAAAGGCCTTGCCCACATAAACAACAAAAAAAAAAAAAAACCCATTGCCGTTGAGTCGATTCCAACTCACAGCAACCCTATAGGACAAAGCAGAACTGCCTCATAGGGTTTCCAAGGAACAACTGGTGGATTCAAACTGCGGACCTTTTGGTTAGCAGCCAACCTCTTAACCACTGTGCCATGTGCCCTTACAGGCCTTATATTTTAGTGTACGAGGCGGTGGGGAACAAGAAGAGAAGGAGCAACACAAACACATTTGTTAAAGATAATTTCAAATGGTGAAAAGTGCTGTGAATACTCATACGAAATGTCTAGAACAGACAAATGCACAGAGACAAAAGTTTATTCATAGTTACCAGGGGATGGGAGGAGGGAAGTTATTAATGAAGGGTACTAAGTTTCTGTTTGGGGTGAGGAAAAACGTTTGGAAATCCATGGTGGTGGTGGCTGCAAAACATGATGAATGTAACTAGCGTCACTAAATTATACACATAAAAATGGTTAAAATGGCCATTTTTACTACATTCGTATTACTACAATGATTTTTTTAAAAAAGTGCCACGAAGAAAGTAACAACCAAGAGAGTAGAGCTGGGAAGAGAGGAGAGGAAGAAAAGGAATGCTATGTCGTTAGGCGCCCACAGAAAGCCTCCTGAGGAAATGACATGTGAGCTAAAACCTCAGAGAAGAGACAGAAGTGCACAAATGACCTAGAGACAAGCAACCCACCAACACACAACAGCGGACACAGAGCCCCGAGAAGAAAGTGAACTTGGCATGTTAGAGAGACAGAGGAAGGCAGTGTGGCTGTGTTACGGATTGAGTTGTTTCACCCCAAAATGTGTGTAAACCTGGCTAGGCCATGATTCCCAGTATTGTGTGGCTGTCCACCATTTTGTCACCTGATATGATTTTCCTATGGGTTGTAAATCCTACCTCTTACGATGTTAACAAGGCAGGATTAGAGGCAGTTATGTTAATGAGGCAGGACTCTATCTATAGGATTAGGTCATATCTTGAGTCAATCTCTTTTTAAATATAAAAGAGAGAGCAAGCAGAGAGGACAGGGGACCTCATACCACCAAGAAAGCAGAGCAGGGAGCAAAACACATCCTTTGGACCCAGGGTCCCTTTGCTGAGAAGCTCCTAGACCAGAGGAAGATTGATGACAAAGACCTTCCCCCAGAACTGACAGAAAGAGAAAGCCTTCCCTGGGAGCTGGCACCCTGAATTTTTACTTCTGGCCTCCTAAACTGTGAGAAAACAGACTTATTCACTGTGGTATTTCTGTGATAGCAGCGCTAGAAAACAAAGACAGGGTGGAACATAAAGAGGGGCAAATTCTGGATGGCCTAGTTGGTCACACTTGGTAAAACAGAGGGTCAGCAAAAAAGAGGAAGACCCTCAACAACATGGACTGACACAGTGGCTGCAACAATGGGCTCAAGCGTAACAATCGTGAGGACAGCACAGGACCTAGCAGTGATTTGTTCTGTTGTACAGGGGGTCGCCATGAGTCAGAACCAACTTGACTGGCACGTAACAACAACAGTTGGTCACAGTAAGGAGTCTGGATTTTTATTCAAACTACAGTAAGAAATTATTGTAAAGTTATACACAGGACATGATACGATCTGAGCTGCAGAGGTCGGTTTGATGGTTATGTGGAGACAAACATGTAAGGAGCGAAGAAAAAGCAAGGAGATGAGTTAGGAGGCCGCCACTGCAGCCAGGCAAGAGATGACAGTGGCTTGAACCAGAAGTTGTGAGAGCAAAAAGTGTTCAGATGCAGGATACATTTTGGAGGTGATGTCTATAGGACCTGCTGATGGAGTCAGGATTCTGGGACTAGGCGACCAAGGACAAGCTCCCCCATCCACACCACAGGTTACTTCTATCCTCACATGTCCCTTCTCAGTATTCACCAGGCCGGGTTTTGTATAGGAGGAAGAGGCAACAAAAACTTACAGAATCAAAAGTGAAATGTAAAGTGTACGGTAGTGCCTCACTTACCCAAATTGGGATCAGTTGCCTGACGCTTCTTAATTTTAGCTTCAGAAATAGCAGAATAATAGGCACATGTCATCTTGATCAGCCATGTTGCTCGAACCATTGGCACCGAATATTTAGCTAAGTATGCAAAAACATCCTCTTTCTTACTAAGGATGGGAACCTAAAAAAGACAACATTTATAATAATCACATACTGCGCTCAAACCTAAGGAAAGAGGAAGCAAAAGAAAGAGAACGTAAGTAAACAAGTTACCTGCAGGCTATAAGAAAGTATATCCTTGGTGGGTTTTCAAACAATATGTGCAGTTAAAAAAATACAGAGAACATGCTCAACAGATTTACATTGAGAAAAAAAGAGTCAAAACCATGTTTAGCATACTGGCAAAACAGTTTGTTCAGGTGTTCTTTCTTACTTATTTAAAAAAAACTATTTTCAAGTTCTCATATGCTGAAAGCTACTCAGCTTATCAAGAAAGTAGAAGAAAATTTCATGACAGTCTTCCAAAGAGTTTATCTCAAAACTGTAAGGGACAGACTAAGTGGAAAAAGTGTCCTCACCCTATACTTATTGAGAAACGCTTTTCTGTATAAAGCTTTCTGACTGTAACAATTTCCAGCAAGCTTCTAAAAGTGCCTTCAGCCCAAAATATAAAATAGATGCTAAAATGATGGATCAGTGAATCTGCCTAATAAACACTGAGCTAGAAATAGCCGCGTAATTAATTCGCCGGTTGAAAGTAGGCACTTGAGACAGTTCATCGTTTCTTCCAGACCACAAAGGTACTATTTAGCAAATTAGTACCCCAATGTACCACTGAATGGTTTGAAAAGAGTTAATTCATTCTTCTCCCATCCCTTATAAATACTCTAGGGGTAGCCCGTTCATCTATATCATCCATTCAATTTGTGAACGAAGAGTGTGCTAGCTGTGCTGCCGCAGGGTGGCAGCAGGGGGGCCGAGAGGCCAGGAGACCCCCTACCCTAGGGATGAGCAGGTCAGCACTCCATCCCAGGCCCCAGGCTGTCTGGTGTAGCCCATCACTCTCCATTTGTGAACTGTGATAACACCAACCCAGTCCACCTCACAGGGTGGCTATAAGGGTGAAGCTAAAGAATTACATATATACCAAAATTATAACAAGTATTATTTCGTTGCCAGTTTCAAGGATTTCCCCATGCCAGCACAAGCATGTTGGAGCTTTTCTTCAAAGGATCCTGGACACCACAACCATGCACATTATGAACTCGAGTCTCTCTGTCCCACGTGCTTGCTTGGCCAAATATATTTGGGGATGGAAATCCAAATTCACACAACATGGCACTTTTCTCCCCATTAGACAAAGTCTCACTTATACAGTGGATTTAACACTATATGTTACAATCTGACTATTCACATACTTGGTAGAGAGTGTTATCCCAGAATTTTTTTGTTTGTTTGTTTGTTTTTGTTTTTTTGGTGCATGGCTCCTAAAAGCAAGCTAATTATTCTACCTGGTTTTTACCAAAGCTACCTCAAGCTGTTCTAGTGCAGAAGGAAAAGCTACCTAGGTTTGAAACTGGGATGCAGTATGTCCACATAATGTATCTTATGGGCAATTTAAGGGACCTTTGATCGTGTCCAGGTCCTGCGCTGGTACTGACTTTAGAACATGACCCCATGACAGAGGCACCCACGCTGCATGAATGTAATTAAAAGGGAGATGAAGTCACATAAACCAGAGCTACAGGGCTTCCTCTCTGCAGACCACAGGCACAGATTTTAACAGGGGAAATTTCTTGAAATTTTAGTTTACAAGGCACATGTTTTGTGGCGTACAAGGCTTTGAGTTTAAGCCAGAGACAGCGAAAGCATAGTCTTAAATATTCAGTCGAATTACTGAGCTGCTGCTTTTCACAGAACACACAGTACTATATCAGTGGGTTAAGTTTTAGCCGTTAAGGTCTGCTTGCCTCTAATTCAGACATACCGAAAGGTTACAAGATCAAAGCCTAAAAAACAGTCAAGTGCAAAATAAAGTCAGCATCCCCAAAGAATCATTAGAAATACTATCCCTCCTGGATGCCTAAAGGATTTCTTTTGAATAGCAATTGACAGGGGGAGGGAGCCATTTGAATGTGTGAAATGTTTAGATGAAATAGCAAACAGAAGTAAGTCACAGAGCTTACATTAATAGCACAAGGGCAAGCTTTGAGTTCTTTGCCCCAACCCTAAGAGAATTGGCTGCCTTCAATCAAGGGCTTTAGAGTTCAGAAGAACAGCATATGTGAAGGAAGTTACTTAATTAAGGAAGAAGACACATACTGACAGCCTTGTCCCATATATTGTTTTGGCCAATTCAGGGAGGGAAAAAACATCTACACGGGCTAAAGTATGACTTGCTTACAGGGATGGACTGCATGTTCAGTAAAGAAACTCTCTGACTTTAACTTGTAGCTGAGTGTATGCAATCACTGGGCAGCTGTTTGGTTTCTAAATCAAGCCAGAGCTGTCTCTAAGTACCAGAAGAAAACCAAGACACCTAGCATGTGCTGGTTTTCCATCCACAAAAGCGTGGCACTCATATCACTTTTCCCTGCGAGGCACATTACTGTCAGCGCACTCTTTTTGCTAAGCAGAGGCAGAGGCAAAAGGAAATCCCACAGATCCAAGTCATGTGAAGTGTGAACCGTTCAGAGATAGAAGGATATTCCCAGAGACCAGAGTCTCTTTTTGCCAAATATGGCTATGACCGCGACTGAATTAAAAGTTCCTTTATGGGCTACTATTGACCTCTCTCTGGCTAAATACTTGGAGTGATGTGGAGCTTTATTGTCACAGAAAACTGGGCCAAGAAATTTGATCCATTCCATACAGGAAACTATTCTGAACTCTAGATCAGAGCTAGAAGATGACTCAGGACATCAGCAGGAAAGCCAAGGTTTTCTGACTTAAGCCATCTCACAGAGGAACACAAGAAATTAAAGAAGAACCATTTGAACTTTTTAATACAAAGATCACAATCTTTTACCCAACTCTGAAAGAGCTGTTGCCATGTCAAGAGGATGATCTGCTCAGGAGAAGAGGAGGAACTCTAGAAATGGCCAAGAAAGGAATACTTCAAGCCACAGTCAATGGTTTTATAAAGTAAGCATCTTTAATGTTGCAAAGAATGAATGTCAGGGCTTACCTGAGGAACACCTGACTTGGCCAGAGGCAGCTCCTAATAAAGAGAGAAGAACAATGGCTAATAGACTGCACCGTAATTTGACTCCCTCCTAAAAGATGAGGGGCCACTCTACCCCTAAACTAAGCCCATCAATTCCTCATCAGTATTCACTTTCAGGAAACAAACAGAAAAAGTACTCTAAAGGCTTATAAAAAAAAAGGGAAACCCAAAAAGACAGATGTCTGGCTGGCTACATGGGACTGGTAGATACTAACCAACATGGAGGCTATGAGCGGTTGGTAGAAAGCCATCCAATCATGAAGTACGCCCTTGACTTACATGGCCTTCAGATACAATTCACGGGCCACTGTGGGCCACAAAGTAAATATTCACCACTAGAAAGGAAATGCTAAGTGGCTCAGCCTGTGTGATACAGTGGGGCCAACTGAGTAGTTGGAGGTGGTTGTGCTGACTGCTGTGCTTTTCAGGAATTTCAGTCGTCTTTAACTACTGAAACCTATGAAAGGCAATACAACACTATAACATACGGCAGAATACAGCCAAAGGAAGCCGCAGGCACTATGTTCAGAGTTGCTTTCAAACAAACAAGCCCATATACAAAAGAGCTCTCCGCTAAGCTGAGCCTGTGCCAAGTCAGTTACTGAAAACCTGGTATCAGAAACAGAAGACAGGCATCCGTAAAACTAAAGGGCTTCAGAGGAGATGAGAACAGATCCATGGGATTATGTGAAAGGACTGCAAGAAGTCAGAGATCAAGACTAAAGAAGGAGGTTTCTAGTTTATTTAAATTTCAAAGGACATGTTATTTTGTTTGAACTATAAGATTATTCAAGCTGTGTATCATTTCCTATGTCAGGAAAAGGATCAAAGGCAGAGATTTTAAAACAACTCCCTTCCCCAAAAAAGCCATCAACAAGCCTGCCCATTTTCTCTACAACTTTTTGGAAGAACAAACGCCCATAGAATCACAGTCCTTATCTTGCTTAGGAGGAAGGAGACTTCACTTAAAGCACAAGGATGATTAGTTTCAAAGACAAGGGTCCAAAGCAAGGCTCTCTCTCTAATGTATCTTGAACTTCTTGACCTAAGAAAACTGAAAATATAATAGAAAAAAATGAAGTCTTACTGCCTATTCTTGACTTAAAACGTTGTCTACTGCAAGTCCACATAAACTGCCTCCTGTGTGGAATTTTTAGGTTTATAGACGTCCTAGGCATCCACATGAGAAAAGACCTGGCAATCCACTCCCATGAAGATTACAGCTTGGGAAAACCTATGGGGCAGTTCTCTTTGCCCTATAGGGTCACTATGAGTCAGAATCGACTGGACAGCACGCAACAATAACGTGCCACACGCAATCAAAATAAAGGGAAGCCAGCATGTACACAATCAACATCTGGGGTTGAACGCCTGCTATTTAGGTTCTGCGTTTTGGAGAGGATTGGGGAAAAGAAATATACACTTGGGTATTATCTCCAACATCTTCATTTTCATAGGACATAATTAAAACAATGCAAGGAATATTTAATACCTTTTTTGCCAGAATAGCAAGTGGTTTATTTCCGGCTAAGTCAGAGAACCAACTATGAATTACACTCTGAGATCGAGCAGTGACCAGCCAGTAATTATCTTTAGCATTAACTTGTGGTTTCTTCTTTCCGGTGTCCTGGAAAGTGTTAAGCTTCAGTTTCTCAGCTAATATGCTGCTAAAATAAGCTCCAATCTATGGAAACAAGGGGTGGGGGGGAGAAAACGTTTAAACACAATCAGCCAAGTATCTTAATATTCTATCTTATTTTAATTGAAATTTTTTCATACAGCCCATCTCAAAATAAAATAGCAGTTTAAGTCCTTGAAGCCAAGAGTTGTGATTTCCTTATATTAAGGTGATGCCAAAGCTCACAGCACCTTTGTTCCACTATTAAGTAGTTAAAGGAAAAAAGAAAAGGCTTTGAAAATCTCTGGTAAGATGAAATTAATTACATCCTGAATAAATTTCAAGAGAACGGGTTCTGCTTTAATCTTCAGCTGTGCTTTCTCCTTTTTCATATTCACACCCATTTGGAGACACTATTTTCCCCGAGAGGGGTTGCATACAAGAGCAGAAAACCTAGTAATCACCCAGTGATCATTCTTTTTCTTGTCTTATCTTAATAGTACATATTTTTGGAAAGGAAACTCTGTATTTACAGTCAGTGCTTTTAAAAAGAGTCCAGGGAAACTTTATTTAAATGGCAAATAACAAAAGGTTCAATTAAAACAGGTATTCAACATTTCCGATTGGGCTGTCAATTTCATGAATGCACATTTTCAAGCAAAAGCCAGTGTTACCTGCTCTGAAATGGGGCAAAGTACAGAGGGAGCTTCTGCGAATTACTCCATCGTTTTCATATTAATCAAAGATAGGGAAGGGAGGGAGAAAGGGACAGGAGGGAAGGAACAAGAAGGAAGGGAAGGAAACAATATCTAAAAATTAAGTAAATCTATAAAAATCTGTTGGAATTTTCATGAATCCTATGAAAGCATCACATTTCACACCATGGAAATTCTTTAAAAATATGACCCAGGAAGTAATTTCTAACAAATACCCCAATAAGGTGAGCAAACCGTGGCAATCATAATTAAAATACTTACCCTAGTGATGCAAAATAAGAATTACCACCTTAGTTAATATTCATGAGTCAGTAAACAACCTATAGGTGGGAACACAGTTGTAAGCAACTGGCCAAGTTTATCTACCTGGGTGAAAAGCAGGTACTATTTTTTAAAAATATGAATTGGCATTCTTTGATCCTTGTGATTTATGTATGACAAAAAGAAGTCTGTTTTGGTGTGTTGGTGTTATAGAGAACTAAAAATCAGAGTAATTAGGGAGGAAAAAAAGTCTGAGCTTTTTTTAAAAAAAAAACTTTATTGTCGTTGCCATTGTTTTAAACAAATGTTTGCAGAATGTCCAAACACTGAATACGTTAAGTGCAAAACTTTAAGTAAAACCAATTGTTTGTACTCAAGTAGCCAATACCAGCCAAATGTTTAAATGTAAATTTCTCAACTGATATTTGATCTTCGCTCCAACAGCACCGAACACCTACCTACCTGTGTGGATTGTTTTATATTTAAAAGGTATCTTATCTGCAATTGTATATAAGCTCTTTAATTACAATAAGCAAAGGTACAAATTTTTTTAAGTCTGAGCAATCTGTTCTATAATTGTATTCTCTTCTATGTACTTAATGATACTAATATAACACAGTGAGAGCGTATATATGTTTTAATTCCTGCTAACAAATCTCGCGAACAATTGCATACTGCAAACGAAGTCAAAATTCCCAAGAAACCAAGTGAGAAGAAAATAGCCATTCCCAAAAAAACCCAAACCCATTGCTGCTGAGTCGATTCCGACTCATAGTGACCCTATAGGGCAGAGACGAACTGCCCCATACAGTTTCCAAAGGGCACCTGGTGGATTTGAACTGCCAACTTTTTGGTTAGCAGCCGTAGCTCTTAACCACTATGCCACCAGGGTTTCCAAAATGAGCATTAGGACTCAAAAAGAAATAAAAATGTGATCATAACATTTCATTTTATTCTAAGCGCAGCATACGCACATTGCTCCAAAATCGTAAAATATGTAAAAGAGTAAAGAGCCTCATTCCCAAGTCCCCAATGCCTACCTGGAAGAAACCACCTGGATTTAGTTTCTTGTGTGTTCTTCCAGCGTTTCTTTAAGTGAATACACATGAGCAAACACAAATATATTATTGTTTGTGTCTTCCTTGTATGTATGGAGCGCTGGTGGCACAGTGGTTAAGAGCTATGGCAAGCTACGACTCCTAACCAAAAGGTTGGCAGTTCGAATCCACCAGCCCGCCTTGGAAACCCTATGAAGCAGTTCTACTCTGTCCTGTAGGGTCACTATGAGTCAGAATCTACTCAACAGCAAGGGGTTTGGTTTGGTGTATGTATAGTTATATATGCACCTTTGGCAAATATCTAGAACTTTCCATATCAGCACCTGGAGGTCCTACATTTTATTTAATCAGGCCACACTTAATAGTCATTTGGAGTATTTGTTCTAATCTTTTGCTATTACAAATCACGTTAAAATGGATAGCCTTTTACATTTATTGTTTCGTGTATGTGCAGGTACAGCTTTAGGATAAATTTCCAGAATTCAGATTGCTGGATCAAAAGATGTTATGATTCTGCGATTTTAATAAGTATACCAAATTATCCTTCACACAGTTTATACCAATTTGTACTCCCTCAAACAAGGCATGAGAGATAACATTTCATTTCAAGTTTGTTTCCATCAATTCAAAGCTATGTTGAAAATAATTCATTTATATGAAAATAAAGAAAAGTTTAAGGGCTACATCACAGTTCACACACTTCACATTTAGAAAGTCAAACTCTCCTCAAGGCTTTTAATCCTCCAGTAAATCTCACGGGAAAGTGTTACTTTCATTTTTTCAGTTATTTACATTGACATAAAACTCCATACGACTCTGAGGACAATGTAGCAATTCATATCGAGAGACATAAAGCATTCATACCCTGACCAAGTACCACACTTCTGGGAACTTACCCTAAAGAATAAAAGCCCTATGTTCAACTAGGACTGCAACATCTTTATAAACAGACATGAGAAACTGCTAACAAGCTAATCGCTCCATATTAGAGGGAGGTTTCGATCAACTATAACACATAAATGATGGGATGTTATCTATTATTATTAATATGAATACCGCAGCTACCAGGGAAAGCGTACACAAAATAATGTTACATTTTTTAAAAGTAGAACACAAACAGTATATACGTAAGTGTGGTTGCAATGCAAAAAGTATATCAAGGTTGGAAAAAGACAAAACTAAAAACGTTGTAGTTCGATGGGACTATCTACAGAAAACACTTCCACATCGTTCCACATTGTTAAACTAGAAACTGAAATATTCAAGTTAACTATCAACTGTATATGTGTCTGTGTGCGCACGTGCCTACGTAGAAAAAGATCTGGATGACGCACGAACCTTTAACAATGGTTCCCTCCAGAGAGGAGGAAGGAAGTGTGGAAATTCTTCTGTAAGTTTGATTTTTTTTTTTAATTTGTATGTATGATGTTTTTAATTTAAGAAAATTTAAAATATTTTAAAATTCAAAATATAAAAATAACTCGAAAAAGACAAAAAAATGAAAATAATACAAACAGAAACAAATATCTCTACATATCTAACTGCTAACATAATCACACAGAAAGAGGTTTAATGTAAGAACTTTTTTAACACAACACTCTGACTCTATGTTCTTAATGGGATTCAGTCTAAGGATAAAAAGTACTGTAGAAAAACTGTACATTTTACATGGTAATTTTGTTGTCAGAGTGGCATTGATACTGTTTATTCTGAAAGTGTGCTATGTGTTTTCTAAGAGCAAACGAGTAAGTATGTTGATACTGTCGAGTAAATATGTTGATACTGTCGAGAACGAGGGGTCTCACTTTGGGAGAAGGGAGATACAAAGATGAAACAGGGAAAGGGGAGGAAGCGTGTGGTATTATTTTTTTTTTAATTGTCATTTCAAAATATCTATGTATGTTCCCCAGCTCTGTCCACTGAAAGACCCCAGAAGTAATGAGACCAACTAACAATGAGTATGCCTAGAATCCAGATCTGGGCTGCGGCATGGGGAAAAACATGAGTTGAGAATATTTTACTGCGCCACAAGGTAAAGAATTACTCAGAGAAAGATGAGGACATAATAAAAGGACTCAGGAGCCAGGCTGAAGAAGCCCCCACCGGCAAATGTGGGACAATTTGAACATCAAAAAAAGAAAAGAAAGTAATGGATTATAACACACTGAATTTAAAAAAGAATCCATGAGTCTAACGTGATACCAGAAATGGAGGTGGGAAAGCTCTTCTTTACAAAAGAAAGCCAACTAACAAGTACATGAAGAATGACAATCAGAAAAACCATCACTTTGCAACCATCAACAAAATAAGTCATTCAGCAAGGATCATTAATTGATGCTAAAACCATAGGGTGAATTTTGTAAGAGAACTAGATATTCTATGGTCTCAGAGTCTCACCCTGTAGAGATAACTTGGAGGAATGGAGAGAGATGACAGAGACTACCTTCATCAAGTGATCAAACTTGGTATAACCAATAACAGGACAAACGAGCATTGATGCAGCCCTGGTGGCACAGTGGTTAAGAGTTCAGCTACTCACCAAAAAGGTCAGCAGTTCAAATCCACCAGTCACTCCTTGGAAACCCTCTGGGACAGTTCTACTCTGTCCTTAGGGTCGCTATGAGTCAGCATCAACTCGACAGCAATGGGTTTGGTTTTTTGGGGTTTTACCACTGCATGCCTCATCCTAATACGATGCAAAAAGAAGTACACCTATCACCTATGGAGTCTTCTTACCAAAAATGTTTAAGTTGAAACCTATTATACAGAAACAATTAGATAAATCTAGACTATAGGACTAGAATATATGACAAATAACTGGCCTAGAACCTTCAAAATGACAATCATGTAAGACCAAAAAAAAAAAAAAATGGTGCGGGTTACTGTTCTAGATTAAAAGCGACATGACAACCAAATACAGTAGATGATCCATGACTGGCTCCTGGGGCAGGACAGCCATCCATACAGGAGATTTTAGGGAAAATTTGAATATGGACTGTGGTTTAAATAATACTAACTTACCAATGTTAAATACCTATCAAGGCTGTAACATACACACTTTTTCACAAGTTTTCGAAGAAGGACAATTTGTATTACCTTTGACGGGTTAATTACAATATTTCTGGCTGAGCCATGTTCATCCCCAGTGAAGGCCGGCTGATTGTTGAAGCCTTGCTTTACATTCACAGCAGTAAGTTCATCCTGTTCAAGAGAAAGTACTGATTAATCAGAAGGATGTTAAAGCGTCAACGTACTTCATAGTATTGCAGCCTAAGCAATGGGTGACTCTGCTATACTCTGCAGAAGAGAACTATTGAAAGCACACTAAGTCCGTGACAGCAGAGATTGAAATTCAAAAACCAATATAACCAGGTCCCTAGACTTAACTACCAGTTTACAGAGAATATGGGGACGTGAGGCACAGTGACCCAGCACCATGAGGAAAAAGACAAATCCCAATGATGGAAGGCATTCTACAAGAAAACTGGCCAGAGTTCTTCAAAAAGGTCAATGTCATGGAAAACGGGGGGTAGGGGCAGTACTGTTTTAGATTCAAAGGTATTAAAAAAAAACATAACAATCAAATGCCATGGAAGAACCTTGATTGGATTCTGGGTTGGGGAAAAAAAAAGAAACAACTATAAAATACATTTTTTGGAACAGTGGGGAATTTTGAATATAATCTTAGAGGACATTACAAAATTATTATTAGTTTTCTTTGGTGTGATAATTACGTTTTGGTTATATAGGAAAACGTCCTTATTCTTAAATGCTACATCCTGAGGTATTTCTGGGTAAAGTGTTAGGATGTCTGCCCCTTTAAAGAGTTCAGTATGTGTATGTATGAATATGTGTATGTATACATATATATAAATGTCTAAAGAGATAAAGTGAATGACTCAAAAGTGTTATATACTGCTGAATATAGGTGTTGGATTTTAAAACTAGAATGGTTTCTAGAGAGCTCATGGTCTGATTCTTCCTTCCTCATCAGCCCCTATACATACTGCTAGTTTCTGTTTAAGAAAACTGGTTCAACCAGCTTATCCAAGACCCCATAACAAGTCAAAGATGGGAATGAAGGATTCCTAGACACAAGCTTTAAACACCACAACCTACAACTGAAGGGAAGTTTACCGTTCCCAAAGTTCTTTCATATACATTTTGGCTGACCTGATCTTGACAACTCTGAGGTAGTCGCTGGTGGTGTATTTTCATGCCTACTTGACAGATGAGAAGAATGAGGCTCAACGAGCTCACTAACCTAGTATAGTAACTCAACAAGGCCAGCACTGAAATCCTGTCTCCTGTATCCAGACTGGAGCCCTGGTGGCACAGTGGTGAAGAGCTCGGCTACTAACCAAAAGGTCCACAGTTTGAATCTACCAGTCACTCCTTGGAAACTCTATGGGGCAGTTCTACTCTGTCCTACAGGGTCGCTATGAGTCAGAACCCACTCGATAGCAACAGGTTTGGTTTATATCTTAGACTAGGAAATTTCCAGGACGCCACGCTGTCACACAACAAATGCCACATGAAAACTTAGTCCAAAAATATACGGTTACAATTCCGACTCTGCTTAAAAAGATCTCCTATAGGACAGATATAAGAAAAAATAAAACTTTTTCAAGGTCACAACACATCAAAAATAGCCTAAGACTGAAAAAAAAACACACTTGCCCTGCTCAGATTATCACTGAGTTATGGGACTAAATCAGATTTCCTAAAATACAGACATAAAGGAATAAGAGGGAGAGGCTTAAGTAAATGAAGCCACACTGCAGTTACCTTCTGATCCCCCACTCCAAGCCAAGAAATGATCTCAGTGAGAGTCAGCAAAATGCTTATCACAACTCAAGAATGAGAATACACTTATTCTTCATAAATGAGTGCTACTAGTAGAGAATGAGGAAAAAAATGATTGATTAAAGTCACTGCTGTGATTCATCAGGAAACCTTAGAATAAAGTAGTTTATGATATATAAGTACCTGACAAGTCTAAAAGGTCACTTGGCTGGGAACTGAGATCTCCTGGACACACGCCATGTAATTTTACTTAATTGTGTGCACTCTTACTAATACCTTGGCGGGCCACTGTTTTGGCGGGCTTTCAAAAGACCCCGTTTTAAGAACTGTAGCTCGATGGTAACAAAGCCTCCTCCAAGCACAGAAGGTTACTGAAATCACAATCTGCATAGAAAATGAGTTACACACGCATTATCAGACGACATCTCAAACCGCTCTCATACTTTCAAATTTAATTATTTGAAAATCTAGGGCACAACTACTAAATGTGTATTTTAAGTCAGAAAGGCTTCAGTCAACTTAGATAAAGCGAGTAGACAAACAATTTTTCTGTAGTCTCAGAGCCTAATAAGACGGGCACAAACGGGATCATGACTGGTGGGAAGAGAAAATCGAATTTCTATCCTTGAGTCACCATCAGAGTCTTACAAGAAACATTAATTGAGTAACAGCGTATGTTTTTACTAAAAATACATGCTGGCTTAATCAAGAGGAAATGTGTGGCTTGGAGGACCAGCCAGTTCCATTTATTGCTGCTTCACCTTCTATTCTAACCTAGCACCAGCTCAGTGAGCTGCTCCTCCGTATGACTGCAAACAATTCACTGGCCTGGAGAGACATCTCACACCCACCCACACACACACACACACACACACAGAGAGTCCAGAAGGAAAAGAAAATATAACCGTGGTGACATATCTATCAGCCACCTCAGATTTTCTTTATAGTTAACTAGGGGGCCCAGTGGTTAAGCTCTCTGCTAACTAAAAGGTCAGCGGTTCAAACCCACCAGCCACTCAGCAGGAGAAAGGTGTGACAGTCTGCCTTCCTAAAGATTACAGCCTAGAAAATCCTATGGGGCAGTTCTACTCTGTCCCATAGGGTCACTGTAAGTTGGAATCAACTCGATGGCAATGAGTTTGTTTTGTTCTGTTTTACTAAGATCCACACAGATGTTGCTGGGAACTTTGAGTTCTCAGAACATTTTAATCTTGCGCCGTAAGTGTCACGTAAGACTCGTGCAGAATGTGACCGCTGCTCACTCACCACTCAGTCAGGGTCACCACCATTTCAGGCTTGGGTGGTCAATGGCTCCTGACTAATGTCCTCCTGCTGCTACCCTTGCCCCATCTTCAACGAAGCAGCCAGAGGGAGACTTTTAACACGTCAGGGCGGTCACATCACGTCTACTCTAAACCTGCAATGACCCTGCATTTTATTCTGAGTGTAAGCCAAAGGCCCTGTGATGACCCACAAGCCCCTGTGTGATCCTGCCCTATGCCCCTTACCGTCCTAACAGCACCTCTAACCACACTCCCCTTCACTCGCTCGACTCCAGTCACGCTGGTCTGCTATGGTCCACAAACATGCCAGCCTGTTCTCCAGCCTCAGGACCTTTGCACTCTGTTCCCTCTTCCTGGCGTGCCCTTTCCCCTGGCATCTGCATACTCAACTCCCAGGCCTCCTTAAGTTTGCTCAAATTTTACGTTCTCAGTGAGAAACCTGATGACGTTATTTAAAACTGGAACTGCCCCCCTCACTCCCTTCACCTCAGCACTCCTAATCCTCTGGTAATCCATACCACTCGTCACCTGAAACACCCTGTGGTGTACTTGCTGTGTGAATCGTCTGTCTCCCCCACTGGAAGGTGAGGTCCAGGAGATCTTAGTTTTATTCACTGGTGTGTGCCAAGCACGCAGAGCAGGGCCTGGCACACGGCACACACAGCAGGCATTCAATAAACAGTTGCTGAAAGGGTGAACAGGTGAATGATAACCTGCTCGGACAAGGAACACGGGCATCTTTTGAATCACTACTCCGTGACTTCAGGGCCCAGAACTTCATCTGTATTTATGAACAGCACAACTTTGTCACCCAGAGCAGTGACTCCTACCCATCAAGCCCAAAATACAATCTTTTACAACAAATATTTTTGAATACCCCTTCTCCTAGTGTGAAATGAAATCCATAGATAAGAGCCTACTTGTACCAATATTAAAAAAAAAAAAAAAATCAATATAATGCCCTAACTCTAAAATAAACGGGAAGCAAGTTATCATAAAAGACGTACTTCAAAAGTAAATATCCTTTGTAGAATGGTCAGGCAAACGACGCTAGACCCTCCCTACTCCAAGTGTGGCCATCATCGGCATCCCTGGGGAGCTACTTAGAAATACAGGATCTCAGGCCCTCCCACAATCAAACCTACATTTCAACAAATTCCCAGGTAATCCGTGGGCACATCAAACTCTGACACATAAACCAAACCAAACACCTACTGCCTTCAAGTCGATTCCAGCTCATAGCGACACTATAGGACAGAGAAGAACTGCCTATAGGGTTTCCAAGGCTGTACTCTTTACAGAAGCAGACCACCACATCTTTCTCCCATGGAGTGGCTGGTAGGTTTGAACCACCGACATTTTGGTTAGCAGCCAAGCGCTTAATCACTGTGCCAACAGGGCTCCTCTGGCACACAAAGAAGTTGTTAAATGTTTGTTCCTATTCCTAGTATCGCTGTAATGCGGTCACTACAAAATGCAGGATGATGCAGGTGTGTCGTACTGCCATTTCAAATACCAGGAACAGCGTGACATCAATTTTTAAACAATGAAAAAAACGCTTGGTAAAGTTTCAAACTAACAACATACAATCTTCTGCTAGCCTATTAAAGACACAACAGTTACGTTCCTCAGAAACTTACTATTAAATGTATATTAAAATCATGGGGAAAAAAAAAGACACTTCTTTGAGATCATATGTAAAATAGTCAGATTCCCACCTGAGATGAAGGGGAAAATATAGATGTTGAAGGTCCATCTGGTGGCACATTTGAAAGCGCTGTTGATACAGGACAATCCTCCACTGAGCCCAACGGTCTGTCGGCACGGTGAGGACACCTAGCATGCCTCGCGCCACCCACAATCATCGTGACAACCAACAACCGCCTTCAGAGATTCCCACAGTGCTCCCACTGCCCACCACGGACCTAGAGTGACAGCTTGTATTCTCTAGAGCCCAGCTTCTTCTCCAAGAGGGTCTGGAGACTCCAGGTTTAAGAAGCGCTAAGCTTCATCCTGTGAAGTCTACGTCCTGCTCAGTGCCAGAGTCCACAATGATGGAGATGTTTCAATTCCGACTTCACGCGGGCATTCCCATGGCTTGCCACTGTGGCT